AAATAAAATAAAATAAAATAAAATAAAAGCCCTTCCCATCCCGCTCGAGGGTGGGAGAAGCTGAGTGGAAATGATGGAAAAAAAAGGAATTTCGGGATTTTTTCCAAAGAGGGGAGGGATCCACGAAATTCTGGCTGAGGCCGAAGTGATGAAAATCGCACCCGAAAGCGGAGCGGGTTTGGGGTAAATAATGAGAATTTGGCTAATCACGTGCAGAGCTGGGAAAGGGGAGGCGGGAGGGGAATGAAGGGTTATGGACACACCACGAATTCCCGGTTTATTTCCTTTCCTCCCCTGGAATTAGCGAGCCATAAACCTCTCCAGCAATTAAATGGAGCATTAGAAATACACACACACACACACAAATCGCGACGGTTCCTCCCCGCCAAAAATAAATAAAAATAGAGAAAAAAAAATGAAATATATCGAATATTCCGAAGAGAAAACAATTAGAAATCAAATAAAATTATAACCCGCTTAATCTGCCCCTTATACGTTTATTTTATTTTTTATTTTTTCAGGGCTATTTCCTTTGGCGTAATTGACTCCATCTAATATGCAAAATTAAATATTAAAGAGGAGGAAAGCTGTTAATAATTGATATTGTTAATCCTTTAATGGCAATGCGGGGCCGCGCTTGGCGGACGGGTTTTTTTGGCCACATTTTGGGTCGTAAAAACGTATTTTAGATTTTTATCACAAAATCCCCGAGCAAGAAAGGGAACGGAGAGAGGTCCTGGCACCTCTTTTTATTTAATGTTTTTTTTTTAATCCAGAAAAATAATTTAACAGCTTCCAGGCAGGGATTCATTAGGGAGAAAATAAAAATAAAAGTAATAAAACGGGGAAATAATCGGGGAAATCGAGTCAGGACTCGCTGCGAAGCTGCCCCGGCAGGACCTCAAAGCTCTAAATTAAATTAAATTATTGTTTTAAAACGGAAAAAAAAACCAGCACGGAAACCACAGCTCGCGACTTTAATCGCGATTTTTTTTTTTTCCCCCTTCACTGAAAATCTCCCCACGTTCAGTTTTAGGGAGCACCGAGCACAAAAGTTTTGTTTTTCCCCGCCCGGTTTGAGTTTGTTCTGGATCTCTGCCCAGCACAATAGAAAAGGACTTTTCTTTTTTTGAGCGAGTTAAATAAAGGAGGGGAAAAAAGGAAATAAATTCAAAATAAAACCCGCAAAACAACCTGGGAGAGGAGGGGAGGAAACCGCCAGGAGTGCGAAATAATCTGAGTTTTTTTGGGGGAAACAAAAGTTCATTTAAAGGCAGGAAAAAACCACAGAGGAATCTCCAAACTCCCCCTGGGCCGGCGCTGCCGCTCTGCCGGCTTGGAAAAGTTGAAATGTTGGAAAAGTTGGGATTTTTCGGGAAAAAAATCTTTTTCCCGGGAGGGTGAAGGTGAAGCTCGACACCAGGAGCAGCTGGGAGCGCTTCTCCCTCCCTCCAACTCTGATATCATTATTAATAATAACAATAATATTATTAATAACATTACTGGTAGCATTAAACCCCTTCCAGGCCAATTATCATTATAATTTTTAAATATAAATATAAATATTCCCGGCCTTAAAAAAACCCCACGCTGGAGTTTAACTATCTCCCCAAACCGGCTAAATTACGAATAAAACCTGATATAAAACCTGATATAAAACCTGATATAAAAGCCGATATAAAAGTTGATATAAAAGCCGATATAAAAGCTAATTAACTTCCAATCACCCTCCTCCCTCCTTCTCCTTGGTTTTTTTTCCCAAAGCCGGGGAAGGAGCGTGACTTTGAAATATTCCGAGCGCTTTAATAAACAAACAATCCCCGGCACAAATAAACACCGGGAGGAGCCGCGGAAGGAGCGCGGAGCCTCCGCTGCGACTTTTCCCCTTTTTTTCCCCTTTTTTCCCCTTTTTTCCCCCTCTTTTTCCCTTTTTTTCCCTTTTTTTCCCTTTTTCCCCTCTTTTTCCCCTTTTTCCTCACTCTTTTTCCCCTCTTTTTCCCCTTTTTTTCCCTTTTTTCCCCTCTTTTTCCCCTTTTCCCCTTTTCCCCCCTCTTTTTCCCCTTTTTCCCTTTTCCCCCCTCTTTTTTGTCAGTTTGCACCTCTTTTTCCCTTTTTTTTCCCTCTTTTCCCCTCCCTTTTTCCCCCCTCTTTTCCCCTTTTTCCCTTCTTTCCCGCCCCTCTTCTCCTCCTTTTTCCCCTCTTTTACCCCTTTTTCATCAGGGACAAAATTCCCTTTTTCCCCTCTTTCTTTCCCCCCTTCTCTCCCTTTTCTCCCCTCTTTTACCCCTTTTTCATTAGAGAAAAATTTCCACTTTCCCCTCCTCTTTTTCCCCCTTTTCTCCCTCTTCTCCCCCCTTTCCCTACTCTTTCACCCCTTCTTCATTACGGAAAAATTTCCCCTTTTCCCCCTCTTTTTCCCCCCTTTTCTCCCCCTTTTTTCCCTTTTTTCCCCATTTTTCCCCGCACCTTTCCCGCGGTTCCTCCCCGCGCTCCTCCATCCCTCTCCTCTCTCTCCTCCTTTTGTCCTCCCCGCGCTCCGAGCCCGATTTTCATTTTTATTTTCATTTCCCACCCCCATCCCCTCCCCTCTCCCCCATCCAACCCAAAAACTTCCTTTTATTTTCCCCTTTTATTTTCCCCTTTTTTTTCCCCTTTTATTTCCCCCTTTTTCCCCCCCCCCCCGCCTTTCCCATTTTCAT